AACCTTTAGTGCCAGGTCCCAAAATTTATATCCCCCAAGAACAGTGTGGCCCAGATATACGCCAGGCACTGGATGACCCTGACCACAAGTAAACTACTAGTCCTCATATGGCTCCTGAATGGACTTCAAAGAAATTCTCTCTTCCATTATTGCAGGTTCTGTCTTTGCTGGGGGAACAGCATGACCACAGAGCTGTGCCCTAGCAGTGTCTTTTATATTGGCACTTGTTTACATACCTGTTACTTTACAGTGGGTCTAGCTTGTTACAGTATTTAGCCAGTTAGGATAGAGATATGGGCCGAAAGGCGAGTGAGTCTTCATGTACAATGTTTGTCATTGATTTTGACCAAAAGCAGAATATAGTAACAAATTTTAGTAAAGTTCTTCAGTATCACAATTGATGAAAATAAGTCCAGTCATTCTCCAGTTGTTACATATGGCTGGACTGACAGACGCGGTGAAGGTCATAAATGCTTTTTTGAGGATTTTGTTGCAACCCTGCCAGGCATTTTGTGCAGTCACATCTCAGCTGTGCTTTATGTGAAATGAGGATGGATTTCAGTTAAACTTGGTATTTTGAGGGGTGTCAACAGAAGCCAGGTACATTTAAATCTGATTCATATTAGTCAAGTATCACCCCTACTCTGCATATAACTCAAATCAGGCTTAATTCATTTTCTAAAAAAATATTGTACATTGCACAAAAAACTTGATACATGTCATTAAAATTTACATTGAAAATTTATTTGAAATATTTTATTGATATGAGACCGCCTCTGTGGTATAGTGATGAGAGTTCCTGGCTACAGATCTAGGGGTCCAGGTTCGATTCCCAGCGGTAACCGATTTTCTGAGAAGTAGTGGATCTGAAACAGGGTCCATTCAGCCTCGTGAGGATAACTGAGGAGCGATTTCAAGGACATAGCAGCTCCGGCCTGGAAAACCGAGATTAATGGCCGTGAGGATCTGTTGCGCTGCCACACGACACTCTCTGTCTGCTAAAGTTGGCAAGCAGTTGCTCGGTATAGTTCGCTTGAAGGCTAAAACCACTGAGTTTGTGTTTTGTTTTTGTTTGAGTATTCTTTTACAAAATCTGAGGGAGAAATAATGTAGGACTTGGGTAGTGTAGTGACTAGACTGCATAGAGTCTTAAATTGTTGTTATTCTTATAGACATTTAGCAATACATATGCGTATGTACTCATGTTGAAATGGTATATATTAAATTATGTATCAGTGGAGGGTGTAAGAAAGGGAGGTTGAAGTACCTGAAATATCGTATATGAAACAGCGCTTAAATACTTATTGAATTAGTCATATTAATCAGAAATTAATGAAATCAAGTGTGAAAATTTCCATCTTTGGATGATGTCATGTAGTCTGGGGGAACATTACCAACATTTTGGAGAAACTTGCTACTTTCATCTTCAGGGTAGGCAGTAGTGATCATAGTTGCCACTATGAGGACCTCAAAATTCTTAAGAGTTCACAGGATGACTGTGATAATTTAGGTCTTCAAGAAGAGTTGTACACTGAGTTTTGCTTGCAGTTCTGAAGTTTTTAGTGCTGTTTGCTGGTACACAGATGGCAAAATTTCATTTTTCTGTTTTGTACAATTGCATCTCCAAGTCAAAGCCAAAAATTTTCGTCAGTTTTTTTCTTCTGCAACATGTGATGCATTTATGTTTTCAGGTGGTAACGTTTCTGCATTGTTGATGAAATGGCTTCATCAGAAGCAGCAGAGACAGTAATTAACAAGGAGACTGCATTAACTAAGGCAGTAGTTAGCAAGGAAGAGACGGGTCTTAGACATGAATGTGGTTTGTTTGGTTGCGTTGCCACTGGAGAGTGGCCCACACAAATTGATATCGCGCAAGTGATCTGCCTTGGGCTGGTAGCTCTGCAGCACAGGTATTGTTCAGTATTCATCCAGTAAAAGCAAGAAACTCAGCGCAGAACTTATAAAGCCTGCTGCCCTGTTACATATACATTATATTCTACAGAGCTGTTGTTATTTTTGTAAAAACTTGTTAACTAGTTATGTGTATATATTTCCATGTTCAGATTTCCCCCATTGTGGGATGTTAAAATTTTCCAGACATTAAGTTTGTTACTGTGGTATTTAATTCTATAATTGTTGCTCCCACTTTAAAATTCACTATCACAATTTTGTATTTTTACAAAATTATGAAACAAAATGTCTCTGAAAGATCAACTATCAGAGTTAACATGTCTACATTTTCATTTATATATAGCCATTACATTAAAGTTTATATAAAAATTTTAGTAAATTTCCATACATTTGGCTTTATTCTCAGGAAGTACGCCAGTCTCACCACTGAAATGCATATCAGTTCCCAAATAGTGATCACAGAGGTATGTCTGACTCATATACATACACTGTATGCAGTCCTGACAGGTCTGGTGCTTAGAGATCAAACATGATCATAGATGCTGTCTGCAGAAACTACCTCCAGCCTAAACACGCACTCCCTTGCTTGATTATTGCAACATTCCACTTTGACCTACTAGGCTCTCAATACCTCACTGATGACAGACCATATGGGCTGAACTGAATTTGTACTTCGTTCAGCAAGTTCAAGAGGCTGTGGATGAATGAACTGGGCAACAGAAGGAATTTGTTCTTCCTAACATGACTACAAAAATCGTTATCTTGTGCAGACTATGAAATCATCACAAAAACGATTGTACCAGGAAACTGTGTTGCAACTGTAGTGGCACATACAGTGAAGGTCTTTGTAATTCATGATGTTCTGGATTGTAATATCGTGTAGTTTGGTAATTATGGTGTAGCTTTGAGTACCAACCCATAGTACACTTTATAACCACTGACACCTTACATTCAGTAATTTTTTTGCCGCTTTTTCATGTCTCTCGAAGTCAGCTGCCAGATGGTAACATTGCAAACAGTGCAGCACACAGGGCCACCCTACAATTTTTGCAGTTGTACCTTGTTTAATGATGTTGGCCCTTTTTTGTAGGACATAGCACAGAGTGGATATGGATTTCGCTTTGTCACTGTGGCAGAAAAGTGGGAGGGATGATGAGGAACATCCATCCTTGTAGGTGGGGTAGTTTCTGGTGGTCTCTTGTCTGTTGTATGATATGGCCACTTAACTGGTTTAGAGCTTATCTATATCTTGTTAGTTATTAGCTGTCTTACATGCAACTTGCTTTTTAAAGCCTGTGAATTTTTTTAACTTTAAGATCTCTTCTACATCACAGGTGTATGCACACTACGTGTTTCAAACAACATTGGTCATCTTCAGATGTGTCTAAATTTGCTGATGAAATTGCCATGCTTCCGTCTGTAAATTCAGTTTATGAGGTATGGGGATATGGACTTATGGGCAGAAGCATAGCAGTTCCATCAGCATTTTTAGAGACACCTGAAGATGAGCAGTGTTGGTTGCAACACATAGTGTGCATAAACCAGTGATGTAGAAAAGATTTTAAAGTTTAAAACTTTTATTAAAGGTTTCAAAAAGCAGGTTCACATGACAACCACGTTATTGTTACACACTCAATAGAAACATAGCGTTAACAAAAGGTGTATGTTTTTAAAAGACCTACAGCATACATCATTTCAGAATCCTAAATTGAGTGGCATTAGTTGTCACGCCCTCATCATAAGTTCACCTGTCCTTTATATAGTTATTAAGTGTAGGAAATTAGAATGTATAATGAGGGGGCCTCCAGTGGCATAACGTTCATACCAAGTTTTATGAAAATCGGTTGAAAGGCAGAGACACACAGGTACAGTATTATGATATAATAAGCTTTATATCCAAAAAAATGTAGAGTTGATTAAGAATTGTTGTGGTTTATAGAGTGGCCCCAAAGTTGATACAGTGAACAAAATAAGCAGTTGTGGGCTAGATGGCTGCAGTGAATGTTCTAGAAGGCTCTGTGTCTTTCTCTTCATCACCAAGCCTGGCAGGCAGTGTAAGTATGTGAATAATGTAATATGTGATTTTTTCCTTGCAGAGGGCAGGAAAGTGCTGGAATTGTAACAAGTGAAGGCAACAATGCCAAGGCATTCCGTGTCCATAAAGGAATGGGAATGATCAATAGCGTCTTCAGTGATGATTCAATGAAGAAGCTGAGAGGCAGGTTGAAGTGTGGACGACTGTGTTAACTCCATAGAGCAGTTATTGAAAAGCTAGTAGTCACTCATCTACTCATATGTAACCCCAGCTTTAACTTCAGTATACATGAGAGCGTGCCATTGGTCCCTGAGCTGAATAGATTGAATGCAGTTCGCTTCAGTAATCATATAACGAGGATTCAGGGATCAAAATTCAAGCACAATTCATAGAAATTGTTTTAATAAAAATTAATAAACTGGTTTAGTGTTAAGTTACATTTGGAAAACAAGTGACCATTTTTTGGTTATCGCTTTATTGATTTGTGATTTATATTAATAGAAGGGAACTGTTTGCACTAATATCAAAATACAAACAGGTAGCAGGAAATTTTGACTGAAACATCTTATCCATAGTTTGGAAAGGATTGAATTATATAAATTCTGTGTGTTAACAAAATACTGGGCAAATACTCGTTTTTGGCCCAGGATGTGGTTGCTTTCCATAACAGTATCACAATATGTAGTAGGTAAAATGGTAAGGAAGGAGTAACACTGCTGTATTCATTGTTAATTCAGATCTGCTTGTCATAGGTTTGGTTTCTTAGTAAAAGTGCAAGACCCTAAACACTTCCCTATCCTTGGCATTGGGACTGCACTGACAGCCTGTTATCACACATCCTTATATAGCACTATAACCATCTGCCCAAGCACTCAGCCCTCTAAGTGGTATGATATGGATCTTAGCAACAACCCTGTTATTGTCACGATTGCAGTGCCATTCTTACAGAGGGAGATAAGTTGACTTGGACTAGACCCCATTTGAATTTCAGTTGTTTGGAACTTCACCAGGGTGGTCAGAATTGATGCAGTGGTGTGAAAATGCATAAAGAGATAAAGCAAACAACAGGCGCGCACGCATGCACACACACACACACACTATATATATAAAGATGAAGATGAGCATCGTATTTAAAATTTCAGTATCAAACTTTTTTCTTTTAGTGACAAGAAAATGGAAGCACATGTGCATAATAGGTTTCATAATGGAATGTATAAGTTTGGTTGCATGATTCCACACACCTAAGGATCAATACACCTGGACTGTTGGGAATTGTGGACTCAGCGTGACATAATAATGCGCGTGTTGCTAGTAAACACTTCCCCGCTGTGACATAACAGTAGATGTGCTGCTGGAGGCAACGTTTCCCATTTGCGTGTGTGTGTATATATATAGAGGCTGTGGCCGTGCTGCCTACAGAAGCCAGCAAAGGACCGAGCATGGCAGTGTGTTGACAGAAGCCAGTGGTTGGCCAGCATGAGCATGTTAGTTAACATGAAAGGGCCTACTGTGAAATGACTTGTTCAACATTTGTGTTATAGTTACATGAATTGTAGTTATGGCGTTGCATAATAAAGTGATGTTGCAAGGATAGGCCTCGAGGTCTTGTTTCATAACATGGACTGCATAATGGGAGTTCTTACACATTGATTCTTGTGTAAAGGTGTGTTATTAAACTCAAGTATACTGGACAATTTCCATCATAATGTATTGGTTATGAAACGAGATGGAATATATCCGGTTATGTGCCAGTTCAAATATTGATTTTGGCTAACACTTCGTTTTGATATTTATTTATGCCAGATGCATGTAATTAGTCTTAATTTTGACTTTTAATTTTCTAATTACTGACAAAGCTTCAGACTCCTTACAGAACCACATAATTATCAGTTTTAAAAATTTAATATAAACATTGGCCAATGGATAGTAAAAACAGTTGAGTTTAAGATGAGTGTGTTGGAACTTGAGGATGACCAAATGGGTCAAAACACCTAAAACATGTAGTTGAATAAAAATAAGTATACTCATAAATATTGTAAATTATATACCACAGTGTGTTGATGGAAGTCTTGCATTTATAATCAACACATCCAAGAACCAGTTACGTGATAAGCTTGAAGTCACCTCTGGTGGTGTTCTTTAACTTTACTACACTTGGTGGCATGCTGAAAACATATAATCATTTAATTCAAAGGCACATCAAACCCAGTATTATTGTAAAGTATTTTCTGTTATATTTTTATGCATTGTATTTGTTATGTTATCTGCAAAACCATAAGGCTTGGAGAAAAAATTACTGGAAATAAAATATGTACTTTTTCCTTCATTCGAAACTTTTTAAGGAAAATTAACACAAAAACATGTAAGTTTTCATGTAATGTATAAGTTATTTTGTCTGATTTTATCCAATAATGGACTGTGTTGACAGATATTAATAAAATTGCCCAGCATAAAATTTTGTGAAAGTCCTTTCAGTGCCAGCAAGTTGTTGCATGCAGACAGGTGGACAGATAGATGTGGCAAAGCCGGTGGGCCCTGTTTTTCAATTTTTGCTTCTGAAGACAAAAAACGTTGTGATTAAAGTGCAGTATGTAACAAGTATATAAAACGGAATATATGAAAGAGCAACAATTTAACACACTGGCTCAGGCTGATGGTTAATAACACAGGGGTGAACAAAAGCTCACTGCTGTAGGTATGCTAGAAGACTGTAATCTTCATAGTTTCTGCTGTGAGAACTTCAAAATTCACCAAGATCTTATCACTGTTACCACATTCTATAAATGATTATTAAATGTGAATTTTAAAGTGCCATGACACACTTAGACTTAGGTTGGGAACCTGTTGACGAACACAGCAAACAGTGTCCAGTGTAATCATGCCGTAATAACTTAAGCACTGTTTTAAATTTCTAGGAAATCTTCTGTAAAACATGGCACTCACGCATGATCACTGTTATGCAATTGTAGGAAACCTGGGAATTGGCCACACACGTTACTCTACAAGTGCAGCATCAGAAGAAGTTAACTGCCAGCCGTTTGTTGTCCACACAGCCCATGGGGCACTGGCTGTTGCACACAATGGAGAGCTTGTTAACTGTGGATCCCTGCGCAAGATGGTATGTGTTTAATTCTTCTTATTCCTGTGTTCTCTGTATTTGTGAGAATGTTAGTTATATTTGTGTAGCGTCTGTTTGAGTGCAGTTATATTTGTGTAGAGCCTGTTTTGAGTGCAGTTATATTTGTTTAGAGCCTGTTTGAGCGCAGTATAATGATCACTTTTTATACACTAACTTCATAATAATTTTATACACACTTGCTTTAGAAATTAAACAGTGTAGAGTATTTTCCATAATTGATGATTTTACTCTTTCTTAATTGGAAAACATAAGGACATGTACCAAATCATAATACCAAAAATGAAAAGAATTTCTAAGAAAAATTATCGATTTCAATAACCTAGGGCAATAGTAAATATAGTATTAAAAGGATGAAACTTGATTTGTAAGTAAATTTTCTGGCTGAGCTGCTCTGGAGAACTTTGCCTGACACACACATCTGAAAATAAATCTGGCAGCACCTATGCCATAAAACCAGTTAGAGAGAAAACGTTTCATTAATGTAAGATAGAAGATATGTATAGAACAAGTAGTAAAGTACACACCGAAAGAGTGTGGAATTCTCAATGGGTGGGCACAGCATTTACATGTATAAATTTGGAGTCAGAACAGGTCAGGAGACCTGATTCATGATGGAGGCGAAGTAGTAGTATCAAACAGAGAAAGGAGGAATTTATCATAATTGTTTTGGCATTGTTAGGGAGTGAAATCAAGGGTTGTGATAGGTCACGTGTGTGTCTCTGAAGGGAGAGGCAAGAAATGAGTGTTTTGACGGGTAAATTTTATGCAGAGTGATCACTTGGAAGATCAAGAAGGGACAGGAAGGTATTCATTGTATGGAACTTGGGAAAATAGGATGTGAGGATAGGAAACGATGGAACTGTCTAAGAATAATCGTATACAGCAACATGCCTTGGTACTACTGATACTGGAAGGAATTGACATATCTGCATTTGAAAAAAAAATCAGTGTATTGTTTGCAATTTTTTGTGTGTAACCATTTTGTTTCTTCATAGGAGAGAATTGTAAATTGATGTGACACTATGATTATGCAGGTATTGGGTCGAGGAGTGGGTCTGTCCACTCACTCTGACAGTGAGCTAATCACACAAGCTCTCTGTCTGAATCCTCCAGAAGGTGAGGTTAATGGACCTGACTGGCCAGCGAGAATCAAGCACCTCATGCAACTGGCTCCACTCTCCTACTCACTCGTCATTATGCAGAAGGATCGTATATATGGTGTCCGTGATCCGTATGGCAACAGGCCCCTCTGCATTGGGAAGATTGTCCCCCTGAAAGTTACAAATGGTGAGACCTAGCAGTGGTTGTGTCAGTGATTCTGCTCAGATGGAAGATTCTTGCAGATACAATAACAACATTGCAGTTGTCCCCCCCCCAATGGTTCCTTTGGTCAGAAGTTTTGGAAGTTTGTGAAAGAGAGAACATGGGGTTTCTTAGCCCACTGTGTCCAGATTTTGAAATGGTACAACATTTTGCAAATGGCAGAAATTTTGCTTTCAGACTTTCATTAAACCCATTTGAGATTATTTGAACTGGTCACCCTAGATAGAGTATTCAGGATAGAACATTTTTAAAAGTAATTTTAATATTTGATATATTCCTTCTCTGAAAATTAAGGGAGGGGCAGATGCCTGTCTTCCCCCCCCTCCACTGGCACCTGGATTTTTTATAATCTTCATTTTGTCCGTCGTTAACTATAATTTATGCCTGATTAGGTGCATGGGTGTGTTGTAATTCTTGGTTTTATATGCTATACTCATATTGAGTGCACATGAAACTATGTACGTGTATGACTGTTACAGCGTTCACAGTTCAGTTGATATTGCAGGTGATGGCAATGAAGGTGAAATGGAAGAAGGGTGGGTTATCTCATCTGAGTCTTGTGGCTTCCTGTCGATTGGAGCACGATACAAACGGGAGGTTCATCCTGGAGAAATTGTGGAAATGACAAAAGACGGTATCAAGACTATTGGCATCGTTGAACGACCAAATGCCAAACCACAAGCCTTTTGTATATTTGAATATGTGTATTTCGCTCGCTCTGACAGTATATTTGAAGGTTAGTGAATTCTTTTAATACATAATGAAAAGTCACGTTTTCTCTTTATATTTAATCCAAAACTTAGCACACTATAATCATATGACTTACTTTCAAGTAAGAAGTATTTATTTCTTACATGTTATTTGATCCTTAACCTTTAAACGACTAAAGACAACGTATGTCGTCGCAGATAGTAAAGGCAGCGGTACGAATGACGCCATGTGGTGTCGCAAAGTCCGCGCGTGCGGACGTTATTTGAAATACATTTTTAAGGTAGAAAATAATGTCCTACTTATATAATTTTTGGCCACCATCTGCATGGAGTGTCTGTCTTCCCACCTGCGTCATCTGC